TGTCTACAGAGTATATGTAAAAAGCGATAGCTGTAACTGAAAATCTTAAGTCAAATGGTAGCATCCGCTAAAGCTAAATAGACTCAGCGTCTCAAAATAAAATGTGATCCGACTAGACCCTGCCTGGAAAAAGTAATGAAAATATAGCTGCAGTCAAAAGCTCAAGTAAACGTAAATAACTTCCGGTATAGCTATCTAAACTCACACTAGCAGATAGACATCGGCTAAAATTGTCAACGGAGTATGTATACAAAGAACAATAGCTATAACTAGAACTAAAGTCTTAAATTAAATAATGGCATCCACTACAGCTAACTAAACTCGACGCGCGTTTCGGCGTTCTTAAACACGCCTTTATCAAGAGCAACTTGTTCAGTGATTAAAGGTTGCTTTATAAAGGGTGATAACCACTTCCTCAGAAATGACGTCCTCCAATCGGCAGGGTTCATCCGATCATCATGCCCGAAAAGGACCAATCAGAGAGAAGTGGGCGTGAAGCTCACGTGGTCACTAGAATTACAACAAAAGGAAAGAAAGCGTCATAGTGACGAGAGTGGCTATTAAGCCAATTACGTAAACATTATTACTAATGTGATCACCCCTTAATTGAGGGAAGAGGTTGCGATGTCGGAAATACCTAAACGCCGGCAAAAAATAACTAAATAAAATAAAACATTGATACACTGTAGCAACTAAATAGTAACGCAGTTAGTAATATGAACAACATTACCAAATTGTTCACACAACCTCTTATTATACTGATAGGAAAGAAATTTCCACGAGGCAACAAACAGATAAGACTGTCACAAAATAAAATAAAATAAAATAAAATTAATATAATGTTGCTCAGTGGAATACCCTGGACAAATATATTGACAAAACATAAAAATAATTATAAAGATGAAATAAACAATCCAATAATAATCAAAAAAGAAATCAGTGATATTATATTAAGAGTCCTATATATACTATTAACAGTATAAAAGAGGTGTTTGCAGGAAAGCAAAATATACTAGTAACAAACTGCAGATAATAATGCTACAAAAAGATTTACAAATGCCGGAATATTTTTAAAGGGGACATCACCACCTCTATATACTCAATAAGTGGTTGTTTACAAAAAAGAAAATGTGTATAATGAAAAAAATCTTAAACAAAACTGTTGCTATAAAGACAACCCCACACAAACAAATCTACAAAAACCCTATAATGTGTAATAGAATAATCACATAAGGTAATTAATGAGCCGGTTAGCTAGATCAAAATACAGAAACAGGAATTGGTAAAAAGAATTAAAGGGTAATGGGAAAGTGTGGTCAAATGAACGGGGAAAAGGAAAAACCCTCATTGAGACCTTTCGGATGAAGGGTTTGCAATTTGTAGATCCATCTACATTCTTTTTGACGCAGGATTTTATCAAAATCCCCCCGTCTTTGGTCACGTTTAACAAGTTCTAAACCACAAAACCGTATATCTTTAGACGAACCCCCATGATGTTCCTTTAAATGTCTTGAAATGGGGGTATCAAAACGGTTTTTGGGTGACCTGACATGTTCCTTAATACGTTCTTTAAAAGGACGGAACGTTTTACCCACATACAATGATTTACAACTGCAGATAAGGAGATATACAACTCCTGTTGAGTTGCAGTTGAAGAAGTGGGTAATCTGGTAAGTGTGTTTACCTTTGGTGTCCGTAACTTCCTTTGAATTTCTAAGGATGTATCTACAAGCTACGCACCTTCCGCAACCATAGGTCCCCACAGGGATCTTTCGACCAAGCCAGGTCTTGTTAAGATGTTGCTTGGGGGCAAAATGACTAGGTACGAGGATGTCACGAAAGTTCTTGCCCCTCCTTGCTGTAATGGACACCTGTGGACCCAGAATCTCTTTTAAGTGATTGTCTTTAAGAAGAATGGGCCAAAACTTTTGCATAGAGCTTTTGACCTTATCCCAACCAGTGTCGAATGTACCAATCATCCGAATGGTTTTATTGGTAGGTTTGTCTGGTACTGGGAAGTCTGACAAAAGATCTGATCTGTCAGTAGTTAGTGCTCTCAAATATGCTCTCTTAAGGCATCTATTAGGATAACCCTTCTCCTTGAACTGTTGTCTCAAGACCTTAGCTTTAATTTGAAAATCTGCAAGATCTGTACAATTGCGTCGTAATCTAAGGTATTGCCCCGTAGGGATACCCTGCTTTAAAGATCTTGGATGGCAACTGTTCCATTTAAGGAGAGAATTAGATGCTGAAGGTTTCCTAAAGAGAGTTGTAGTTAGAGAGCCATCGCCAGAAATCGAGATTGTAAGGTCCAAAAAGTTCAGTGTAGAACCACCAAACTCTGCGGTGAATCTCAGGTTATCATCATTTACGTTAAGGAGGGACACAAAATCATCAAACTCCCTATGATTCCCCTGCCACATTAAAAAGACATCGTCGATGTATCTATACCAAACAATAATTTTGGATAAAAAATTAATTCTAGTGACCACGTGAGCTTCACGCCCACTTCTCTCTGATTGGTCCTTTTCGGGCATGATGATCGGATGAACCCTGCCGATTGGAGGACGTCATTTCTGAGGAAGTGGTTATCACCCTTTATAAAGCAACCTTTAATCACTGAACAAGTTGCTCTTGATAAAGGCGTGTTTAAGAACGCCGAAACACGCGTCAAGTTTAGTTAGCTGTAGTGGATGCCATTATTTAATTTAAGACTTTAGTTCTAGTTATAGCTATCGTTCTTTGTATAAATACTCCGTTGACAATTTTAGCCGATGTCTATCTGCTAGTGTGAGTTTAGATAGCTATACCGGAAGTTATTTACGTTTACTTGAGCTTTTGACTGCAGCTATATTTTCATTACTTTTTCCAGGCAGGGTCTAGTCGGATCACATTTTATTTTGAGACGCTGAGTCTATTTAGCTTTAGCGGATGCTACCATTTGACTTAAGATTTTCAGTTACAGCTATCGCTTTTTACATATACTCTGTAGACAGCTGCAGTTGATGCTAATTAGCTGTTGCGAGTTTAGATAGCCAAAACCGAAGTGATTTACGCTGAAGCTATTTACTACCTTTCTAGGCAAGCTCTAGTCAGATTTTTTGAGATATTTTATGCAGCACTCTTTACCTTATGTTTTCTATCTATCTTTCCAGCCTGGAGTTGTCCCTAAGAGTCTATGCTAGTTTATTCTAGATATTAAGGGGATTTAGATAGGCTGCCTTTATAGCAGCAATTAGATGTATGGTGTAGGTTCCGTGGGAGCAGTGGTGTTTAGGGGTCCTTCAGGCAACCTATATATAGTATTCAGAACTATATTCTCACTTGATTCTCTAGGTTTTCAACCCCTCTCTCCTTTCGATACTGTTATCCTTTGACTAGTCTTCACCTATTCATTTCCCCTATATTATACTCTGTATTATTATATAGGGACATCCTGTCTGTTTATTCTCTTTTTCTCTCTCTACTACCATTAGACTTATTTGGCAGTATTTGAGTATTTATTATATCTTTTTATATACTTAATAAAGGTGATATACCCTCATTTATGTGTTTTTTACAATAGGAGGTATTCTTTGAATGGTGAAGGCAGTCCTCTGCCCCATTTTTCTTTGGGGATTGGATTTCTCTTCCTATTCTCTCCTGCCATTGTTCTCTATTTAATTGGGGTTAAGCCCCTATTACCTCCTGTAACCTTCTTTTTTGAGGGAATTTCTGGGGGAGGGGTTACCTACCTCCACTATTCCTTCTTTGGCTTATTTTTCTAATGAATCTAATTAACACATTGGACTTAATTACAGCATAAATATATCATCATGCAATAAGAACCCCTCCATTTCTTCTAAGGACTGGCTGCATTTAATACAAGATTATGATTGAATAGCAAATTCTTATTTATTGAGGGTAGTTAGAAAAAAAAAAATAAGATCAGCACTGGGATAGAGAGATACATTGAAAACTGTTTACACCACCAAGAGGTATGTAATCAAAGTATCTTGTCTGAGCCAGAAAGTACAAAAACTGGAACGAAGATAATGCGATTTTTGAAGCTCAGAGCACTCAGCAGGCCTAGAGGTATGTATATGTAAATATGTTCAGAAGTGCAATTTCTTCCGTACCACCCGTACCAGCCCTCTCCTGACCGCAAATATTTCTTGAAACTGTTGTTCAGCTGTAAGTGTTCTACAGTATAAAGTTTACAATTGAATTACAACTTGCATGAGCCCCTGCTATCAAGCCTGGATTACCTGCATGGCTGATCAAAGGACTCCCATCAAACACCTGCAAAGTCGATCAAAATGTGGGTTGGCCTATTCATGGCCAATGCTTCCTAAAAACCATCCCAGAGCAGGAGCTCCATTTCCATTGAGGAGATCAATGATCCCCTTTACCGACCTGCCCATTCTGATTCTGATGCACGGGGCCCTCCAGGGGTACAGACCAAGTGTTTTGCTCATGCAATTGTTGCAGTGAGTTAACATGGAAATGAGCCACTAGGAGTAATGTAAGTGTAGGGGCTGACAAGATGATGCACCTACTGGACCAACCTATCTTTTCCCAACACACATAACAGCCCTTATTTCCCAATACTTACAACAGCCTTTACACCCCCCCACATACAAAACAGGCCCTATCTCCCAACTCACACAGACAACAGCCCCATCACCCCTACACATACACTACAGCCCGTTCCCCCTCACACATTACAGCCCCATTTTCACATGCAAATACTACAGCCCCTATTTACATATGCACATACATACTACACTACAAACAGCCACCTCCAGAAACACATACAACCGCAGAACAGCCTCCCTCCCACATGCACAACCACACAAGTGGCTTTCCCAGAAACCTGCAAATCTTTGCCATCCCTCATATAGCTATATATCTGGGGTGAAAAAACATAAAAATGCAATAAAAGCATATATACATGTTCATTTTACTTGAAACATTGACTTTACAACAAATATAAATATGATTTTTAAAAAAAGATTGGTTTAAAATTTTGTACAAAAATAATACATTAGAACAAATCATTTTGAGGGAAATCTTCCTTTCCTAAGTAGTTTTGTATTTCTGGCAGTTATTGTGACAGACATTATCGCAAATTGTATAATTGCAACATATACAAGCATTGAACAAAATGTGACCATAATTTTTTCTTTGGAAGTAATTGTTGGTCTCAATGTTTTGTTTGGATGATCAACTTAGAAAAAAACAAACATTATTTTAACAATATATGTATGGAAAAATAAAAATACAAAATTATCTTAATACTGTTGTACAGGAGAAACTGCAAAATGGAACACAATATATTATAGGCTTATAGTTTACATAGGCATAACTTAATGCACTTTAAAAGTTTAAATAACACTGTTTAAATGATATTGGCATGTCTTGTCTTTATTTCTGTGGGGGTTTTTTTCTTTCTACCTTATGGACCAGACTTCGGTAACTGTATCACAGTTGTCCCATAGATACCAATGAGAGAAATGCTATTCACTAACCAGAACTATATTTCTCTCTTCTAACAATATCCAGCCCATAGTGTAAAAAAAACAATAACCCTACTTTTTCAAAATTACTATTGGTCCCTAAATGTGTCAGATATATAAAGAGTTAGCAAAACTATATTGACAATGAATGGGTAAAATACGATATTTCTCAGCTTGCCTAAATTGTAGATATTTGTGTTATTTAGGTTATATTTTGTATGTTAGTTTTCAGTTTACTGTAAACAGCCACTTACAGGCTTATTCACTAAACTCCAAATGTTTACCTAAACCTAGGTTTTGTGAATATATCATGTAGACTATTCCATCAGGTAGTGATACAATTTCAAAGAAAACTGAGAATCAAGATGGAAAGTACATTTGCCAAAATACCATTTGAAATCAATATTGCACCATTATATCATTGTGTGTTATTAGGGTAAAGTGAACATGAATTCCTACTTTATCTATATAAAATTTAACTAGATGTTACCTGTTATAATCTCATTTCCCATGATCACTTCAATCCTACTTTCATTAAATATTCATAATCTATAACATATGGTTCCATTTTGAAGTGAGGGGTGGATCTAGATGTGTTTAAACTGATTTTACAAGTAAAAAGTGTCAAAATGTTTTCTATACCAGTATAAATAAACCTTAGTGGATTTGTCACAAGGTTATCAAGGAAGACTATATTGTATTTTAGGACAAGATATTTTTTAACCTGTATTCAGGCACCCATTAGGATGAGATTTAAGAAAATGCCCTGTACTCATGGCATCACTGGTCATGAAAAGTCATGTGATGCCATAATCTATTATATTACTTATGTTTTTTAGAAAACTGCTAACATCTGCTCTAAACAAAATCCCTGATATAATTATAAAGTAAATTTAACCATGCAATTGCAGGCTCCAATACAAGACATGAAACGGATTCTAAATTAATTTTTTTATCCATTCAACAATAGAAAACTTATACAAGGTGCAAATTGGGGATGCGGTGTTGGGGCTCACCAAATATCAAACGCTTATGTGTTTTGTGCCTCTTGGGCACTTCCTCAGAGTCCTTTTTTTCTATTTTTGAATGGATTGAAATAAAAAAACAATTATTTTTATTTTTGGACTATACTGCTTTCTTTGGACTTCGTTTCATTTCCTGTATGGAAGCCAGCAAACCCATGGTTAATTGTACGTGCAGAGTGAAAGTCTAAGGTATATTGATAGTTCTTAATTTGTATGGTGGGGAAGAACTTGTATAATTATAAGCTATCTAAATATCCCTGATTATATCCTTGCACGTGCTTCAAACGTCTTCATATAGTTGCATAGTTGACCTTTTTTCCATTGTTTTGCGTCATTTTTGTGAAGAAAACCCAAGCTTATGTACAAATACAATTGTACTGTGTTTACAGTTTACTGATATTCCACAAATTCATTTCTTATAAAGAAATCTTTTATATTTCTTTGTTTTTTTATTACAGCAATATTTACAATGGCTCAAATGAATGTAATGCATAGTTTCCTCCTCCTAGTTTTCCAGTTCTCCAGGTTTCAGAGCAGTCTTTGTATTCTTGTCCAAGCAATCCCATAATTCCACTTTGGGCACTTCCTGTTTCCCGTGTTAAAAGAAAAACAACAAAAAAAAAATCTTCCATCTTGAAGATTTCTGGAAATACTGCAAATGAAGACAGAATAAGGCAGCAGGGCAGCTCATTGTCCGCACATCTCTAGTCTTTCAGAGCATTCCACCTTGATCAGATACTCTGCTTAACAAGTCCACAGCAGAACAAATTGTTAAAAGTTTTCTGAGGCAATAGTCAATGCCCTGAGTGTTAATGTCTTTGAAGTGCAGAAAATCACCAGGCTTGCAAAGGACACTGAATGAGAAAGAAAAAAAAATACATATACATATTTAATTGCTGAGCTTACATTATGAGACGTTAGCACAATTTGAGAAAATTATTTTATGGTACTACTAAATGAATTTTATTGCAGCACTACTTAGTCATAAAATATCCACATATGTCCTTCATTTCACACAAAGTTAAAAGATTGCATGTCTCCTTGGTGTAGTTGGTGCTTTTAATTACTACTTATAAATAGCAGTAAGGTAAGACTGTTTAACACTTCTCCCTGTATACAAACATCAATAGTAAAACACAAGCGGCCTTGAAGTATTCTCTCAGAACAAATACTGTTGGGCTAAGATAAGGAGACGCCAAGAAGATCCTATGATGCGTCATTAAAAACGGACGTCCAGTCACTGATTGTTTGCCTATGCTGTAAAATGGAGTTCAAGAGAGATTATATGAATGTACTCTTAAGTATTGTTTAACTATTGCTTATTATTTTTGTGTACTATCAATTCATTTCTATAGAATGATAACCAGAAATAAGTTTGTGTAACATGTATGTATAAAATATTTATATTTTTATATATATCTAAATCTAGAATTTGAATTTATGTTAGCATCTTCTAAAGGCCATTTAGTTATCCATGAAGTTATCCTTCAAGTATTTAAAAAATACTTTTCGTACCCTCCCCCAAGAGACATATACAGAAACTACCTCCAAGTCAGACATCTAGGGACTAGATTTATAAACTCAATACACTGAAGGTTGTTAGCAATTTGGGACCGTTGGATTTTCATAAGGTGAGCTCATGGTGTGAGTTTAAGTCCACACTAAAGTCAGTAGGGGATAAACTAAGGGTAGGTACAAACAAAAGTAAGGATGACTCATCTTACGAAAGTGCGAGAACAATGCAGCATTTCTTGTTTAATGTGTATTAATACTTATTAAAACATCTGTCGAGAAGGAATAAATTCTAGAATCACCTGCAGTGGATTTTGCAACAGTAGAATTTCAAATGAGTACGTCCTAAAGAATTTCAATGGGCATCCACATACTGTATGTGAAAATGTGTCAGACCTAAATATGTTCACACCTAAGTAACATATATAAGCAGTTAGTGCACACAATTACATGGTTATTGAAATGTAAGGCTAAAGTAGCTGAACTGGAAGCAAAGCTGCCTTACAGTATTTTTCTGATTTGGTTATTTTGACCTTCAATTTGAAATTCACTTTTGAATTCTCACTTCTAATAATCCTGTCACAGCTTATTCTTTCCGTGGTTTTAATAAGACATTCAATAAACTTCTGCTTTTCAAGACTCCTCTTATTTACCAAGTTACTCTTTATGGTTTTAAAATGAAAGATTAAGGCTGTTCTATGTTTTCTAGAAAATTAAAAACCAAAATCTGAGAATAGCAAACATAGTAACCGTTCAACATATGAACAAAAAAAAAAGTAAAACTAAAAAAAACTCTATAGCAGCTACAGTAAAATAGATATTGAGCTGTAATTCACACTTTCAAGACCAGTCATATTCCATGCCATCATTCCAATCTAGTCCCTAAACGCCCTGCAATATAATAATACTCAAAGCACATCGGTTTACAATAAATAAAATGGGCAATCTTTTTTTTTTTTAGTATTACCCCAAATATATTGTACATATACTGTACATACGGATCGGTTTACAGACAAATGTCATCGTTTAGAATTTATATCATACTAAAAAATGATCAACAGAAAAAAATATCAAAAAGTCTATAAAGCGGTGCAGCAATATCTTGTTCTGCGTACATTACCCAGTGTTTCAGGTATTGTTCAGTCAGTAGTCCTCAAAGAGTTCAATTTTATATTATATTTCTACATAGTATACCTATAATATATGATATCTGTATGTTCAGGAACTGGATTTATATTGAGTACAAACTCAAGATCTAGAATATCGTAATGGGTTGCAACCCTTGGTGCGTTTTGATTAGACAATTATGTCCTGCATTTGTAGGGCTTGTTTCAACAAGCATCAAAGTCTGCTTGGGTTAGATAGAATAATTAATCAGGTTTTGTTAGGGCTGAGTGCCCAGCAGATGGATTGATAAGTCCTTTCAAGGAAATAGTATTCCAAGGAGTCTAGATGTGCTTGATTGCCTGACTGATTAAGATTTGTGAGTTTAGATAAATGTTATTTTTCCTCACTACAAAGACTGGGAAACCTAAAGGGAGCTGAGAAGCAGGAAAACGTGGAATTACATTTTCAGTATTCAGTTCGTCGGGCACTAGCAACATAAAACAGGTCATGCATTAAATATTACTATCTTTGCTTTTTGATAGGTTGAAATATCCCTGAACTTTCTCAGGCATTTCTCCACACAAATGTTTGTTATAATCTTAGGTCTGCTGCACACTATAAGTCTCCGGCATATTGGCCAGCATATGCCTAGTGTTTACAAATGCCTATATATTAAATTGAAATTAATTATGGTTTACTAGCCTATTTTTTATTAAAAATTGTTATACTTTATTTAAAGATGTGCCATGAATTACTTTGTAAGACAATAAGTGATAAGCATAACCAGTAACGCACGTTTTCAGTAATACTTTACGTAACAAAATAATGATAACATAACTGGCTTTATATAACAATTTTGTAGAATTTATGGAAAATACTACAATCACATACCTCATAGTTTTCCATTACTATAAGGTGTGCAGTGGCCTACTTGCTAAACTGTTTAGAATGTTTGACCAACAAAGACACGGCTGAAAAAAATATTAAGTTTGAAAATATTTTATTTTTCTTTCTATTTGACTATACTCGGGGCCTGTCCACTGAACATGGAGTTATGTAGAGCTGACAAGGTGGTTTATTCACTAAAATATCAAACCACCA